TCCGACTGAAAGCCCACTGAATAGCACAAAGTCAGGTACAATCAAGACAAGCTGTGGATACAGTTGATTCTTTTCGGAAAATCATACAAATAAACGTCACAAACATCAAACAACCATCGTCTATTCTTTAATGTCCAATCGACAACGATATGGTTCATTAGGTTGCCTTCTTGCATTCAGCCAATCCGATTGGTGCCACTTGAGACCACAGGATTGGTCGGTAAATCTGATTCCTGATTGGCCACCTCGAAGCTTTACCGTGGTGCGTGCGTCCTTGTTGCACTATCCCCACAATAGCACGCTTGTTTAACGTTCAACTTTCCCGACGCTGGTTCGAATAGTATTGGATCGATAGATACCTTGAGTTCGCCTGACATTACGGGAATGCGCTCAGTGAGAGTTGATTCGGGCTTGATCACTTAATCGCGTTTCATTACGCTTCGTTTAAAAACTTCTCACGATCCATGCTGGGTTGCATCTTGATTCGCCTAAGTGTGTCGCACCCTTGAATGCATTTGAAACTACAATGAGCCAATACGGTGCAACAACGTATCGATTCTCGCGAATAACTGAATACCATACCTTCTCTGAATAAGTACCCATTCGATACTAATGTTATCCACCTGAAATGGGGATGCCAGCCGTTAGTTGAATGTAGGCACGAATCGAACCCCTTTGCGGACCAATCAAATGTAAATCCTTTTGAGAAAATTGAAGCAAGCCCTTCCCGAGATTAATTTCGAAACAAAAGACCATATTGCAATAGTGCAAGCTTTGTGTCCGGGACGATTTCGCTGCATCTCACCGTGATGCATACAACAGAACATGCAATATTTATATAAGGCTTTAGCACGATAACAAAGTAAAGCAAAACGCATTAAAACAGGAATAACATAAAAAGGGGATGGGTAAAACGATCATGTCACCAGGGTAAGGACAGACTAACATAAAGTTATTGTTGTTGGCACCGGGGGGCGGGGAAGCACCATCGATTAATTGCAATCGCTTCAGCAAACCTTCAAGTCAAGTCAAGTCAGCAATAGCTTCATGCACCCGGATGGGTGTATTTTCAGCATTTACATCATGTTTGTGGACTCAAATTTACAAAATTACACATAATTGAACTGAACACAGTAGATTGTGTTTGTCCATGAAACAAACAATTGCGTAATTCTGTGGAAATGTTCACCTTGTCAATTGGTAGACTTGCTAGATATGGCAAAACAGAATTACGATAAGTAGAGGTACGTGCAAATAAAAGTTTAATTCTTGAGTGTGTGGATGATGTAGATAGATCTTTTGAAAATTCGTTGTGCAATGGGTGATGAGTGTCTAAGAGTATTTTGGCAGTGAAATTTTCTCATCTTTGTAAGTGTCGGTCTATGATAGAATCCGCGAGTTCATCCCTGACGATACCACTACATTTAGAGATGTGTTTCAGAGTTCTCGTCAGTAAATAGAAGTCTTTCTTCAATATAACGGGAAAAATCACTGGGGAGCGA